GGCAAACAATTCTACACCTTTATAACTAACAGAGAAATCAGAAAAACAATTCTACACCTTTATAACTAACAGAGAAATCAGGCAAACAATTTTACACCTGTATAACTAACAGAGAAATCAGAAAAACAATTCTACACCTTTATAACTAACAGAGAAATTACGCAAACAATTCTACACCTTTATAACTAATAGAGAAATCAGAAAAACAATTCTACACCTTTATAACTAACAGAGAAATTACGCAAACAATTCTACACCTTTATAACTAATAGAGAAATCAGGCAAACAATTCTACACCTGTATGACTAACAGAGAAATCAGAAAAACAATTCTACACCTTTATAACTAACAGAGAAATCAGAAAACAATTCTACACCTTTATAACTAACAGAGAAATCGCAAACAATTCTACACCTTTATAACTAACAGAGAAATCAGGCAAACAATTCTACACCTGTATAACTAACAGAGATATCAGGTAAACAATTCTTTGCTTTTATAACTAACAGAGAAATCAAGCAAACAATTCTACACCTGTATAACTAACAGAGAAATCAGGCAAACAATTCTACACCTTTATAACTAACAGAGAAATCAGAAAAACAATTCTACACCTTTATAACTAACAGAGAAATCAGGCAAACAATTCTTCACGTTTATAACTAACAGAAAAATCAGGCAAACAAGTCTACACCTTTATAACTAACAGAGAAATTAGGCAAACAATTCTACACTTTATAACTAACAGAGAAATCAGAAAACAATTCTACACCTTTATAACTAACAGAAAAATTGGACAAACAATACTACACTTTTATAACTAACAGAGAAATCAGGTAAACAATTCTACACCTGTGTAACTAAAAGAGAAATCAAGTAAATAATTCTACACCTTTAAAACGAACAGAGAAATTGGGCAAACAATTCTACACCTGTATAAATAACAAAGAAATCAGACTAACAATCCTACACTTTTATAACTACCAAAGAAATCAGGCAAATACTTCTACACCTTTATAATTAACAGAGAAATCAGGTAAACAATTCTATACCTTTAAAACAAGTCTGCATCTGAACTTTAAAAGCTTTTATGAGCATGTACAACCATAATCTGATGCTCAGCTTAACATTTTCATCCCAATACTCACAAACAGACCACTCATAAGAAGGATATCCAAGTCATAATAATTGTAAACCATAAGAAAATAATTTTTTGGAGATGCTAATCCTAAAGTAGATATGTGTTGCTTATATATCATCTTTACACACATAATCAACTTTTCAATACTGTGGATACAAGTTTAGTTAATCTTAGCTTACTTTGTTGACAGATATTTACATATTATGATATCAATTAAGTAAATAAAATGTGCATGTACACTTGTACTTCAGCAGTGTTATTTTTCCATCCATTATTATTTGGAACAGTTGACCAGGTCAAGTGGTTTATGGTGATAGCTTGTATCATCTTAAGTTCTGTGACAAATTTTGCACTTTTGTTATTACTGTTATTAAACATCAGGTGGTCTGAAGTTTTATGTTCGAAACCATGGTTTGGAGTTTTACAGAATGAATGCTTTTTCATTCCCTTACACGTTTTTATGTCTAGCAAATCATTGTGGATTTACTGAGTTTCACTTACAACTTTCAAGTTACACAAACATGTACTTTAGTGGTGGACTTAGAAACAACATCTTAAATTTTATTTTGGAAATATATTTCCAAACTCAGTGATCTATACACAGCATGACCCCTTTAAAGAATAAATAAAAAGTTGCTCTCAGATAATAACTGTTAAAATATTTCCATAAAAACTATTCTGTAGTATTAGTTTCAGAGCTTATACACAAAATAAACCTTCAGTAGCACCAAGATCACCTTTTCCTCTATAAAAAACACCACATTTACCAAATGATACACAATTTAGCTCTTCATAATCAAATGTTTATAATCTATACTACAAATATCTGGAATAATATAAACTAATACCAAAGAAATTATAAAACACATCAAATACAGATATATTGCATGGTACTAGTTTAATAATTAGGCTACTCTATAACAAAGTGCCTTAAACTTTGATGATTTAATATTATAATATTGTATTACAATTTATGGCATTCTCTCTCTCTGTATCAGTAAGTTAAGTATAAAATAATAATGAATTAAATGCAATGTAAAATAACATAACAAAAAGGTTATTTGCATGTATTATTATTATCATACTCAGAGATAGCAATTCATAAATTCTCCTATAATATGCAAGATCATTTACCTGTAAAGTTCAAGCATTTCATTAGACATGAACTTGATGAAGTAAATACTGTTAGAGATCAAACTCTAATTATCAAACTACTGCCACTACATGAACATTAGCGGTTAATAATGGTAGTAAGTTTCCAAAATTAAGTCTAATAATAATACTTAATGATTCAAGAAAGATAGTAATCTAATTTCTACAATGTGATTAGTGGTAATTAAAGGCTTAAGCTTTACTAAAGTCAAAACATAAAAACAAACACATACTGACATAGAATATCTTATGTTACAAGAAACATGTTCTGTAGAATGTGGTATTTAATTCTCTTTAATTTAAATAACACCTAAATTGCATGAGTTACGCTGTATCAGTATATGTCAACATTTCTTCAGTGGAATAAAATATGCTTACTATTTATACAACATGTGCATATGCAAAGTGCTGACAATTTAGCCTAATCATACTTCATTACTATTAGTAACTAATAGTAATAGTAGTGAGTACAGTACACATAACAACTCACGTTTACATTGCTTTTGTTTACAACTTACATTTACAACGACTTAGTTTTGTACAGAGCCTGCCAACAACATGCTTTGGCTTAGCGGAAGTTAAACACAAAATGAATAACAGCGTTATAAAAACATAATATTATGATATATTTCATATATATCATATTCACAAAGAACCATACTCTTTCAAACTTAGAATTAATTATGTAATTTAAACTTACCCTAGCTGGCCACGGAGGATAACCCCTAACCTTCGCGAACACCAAATCTCCCGCCTTATATTCTGCTTTCTCTACCATTTGAATCTGTGTATTCGCCTTTTTTTCACCTACTTAAAATGCATTAGTTGCCGTGAAAATAATATACTAACAATGTTTTTAATTTAAGTAAAAGGTCTAGGCCACACAGATTCAATAAAGAAAACGTCACAAAGCAATACAAAATGTAACAAAGTTTAATAAATTATGTTAAACCACTAGACCTTAAACTTATTCTGCATCACGAGTGAGTAAAGTGACACTGACCCACGCTTACTAATTGAACTTTGAAATGAGCTTTAAGTGTTAATCTCAAATCGTATGGAATTAATAATTTAATAATTTGATATGTACTATACGTGGCTCGTTGGTCTAGGGGTATGATTCTCGCTTAGGGTGCGAGAGGTCCCGGGTTCAAATCCCGGACGAGCCCGATTTACGTCGAAATCATTTTACTGATTGTGACGAATTAAAAATAATATGAAATAAGGTAACGATTTCAACACTATTGAACTTGTGAATCATCTACTGTTAATTGTAGTAAATGTATCTTACTTTTATTCTTTACTGTGTATATGTAATATATACGGCAGGGAATAAAAACCACATTTTTTAATAACTGCTGATTATGAGTAAAACAGGATAGAAGAAAACAATTAAAGTTTGTCAACAGACACTGTATTTCTTTGAACAAGTGCATTTCTTTTCATAGTATTTCATCTCGACCTTCAGAAAATTTTTGTGCGAATCATAAAACGTCATATAAATAGGTAGTCGTTATAATAAAATTGTAAATACCTGAAAATGAACATAAAATTGGGTGAGTTTTTGTGAGCAAGATATTGCTGTAAACGGATAGTTTTTCTCAAATTTAGAATGAGTAATCTAAGTTGATCCATAGATCATACTGCTTTGGGGCCTTTGTTATTCATTACTTGTCTTGGACGTCTCTTTTTTTCACTTAATACCAAAAATGGTTTATATTAAGCACAAAACTGCACAACAGGCTATTTGTTCTGTGTCACTACGAGTATCGAAATGAATTTTTTTGCGTCATGATTTCAGAGACTTTAAGTTGAGCCACTGGGGGTTAAATAGTTTTCTTTAATACACAAACACATACACACACACAGAGATATGTATTGGTTAGTTGTTGTTTTTTAAGCGCAAAGCTATATAACGGGCTATCTATGCTCTGCTACCCACAAGCATAATTTTATGATGCATTAAATAAATTAAGGTTAAGAAAGATTAAAAACTATAATGAGGAACAATGCATCCCTCTACTCCTTCTTTGCTTTAAGTAGACAGGTCTGGGTTTAATGACAACCTGGGAAATATTCTGGATTTGACTGTGCCGTGCCATCAATGAAGAGTAGTGATAGAAATATTATGATATGGGTTTGCTTCATTTGATGTGGACGTAGTCCAGTGATAATAAATGATAGGATTACGAATTATCTTGTATTTTGACATTCTAGGAAATGATGCACTTCCTTTTTATAACTGGTATCCTTTAGAGCTAGTCCTCATCTCTTTTTCAGCGTGATAATGTGTCATTTCGCACCATTTAGCAATTTTAAAGACAAATAACATACAGAATGTATATTGATTAGCCATAGTCCTCGATCTGGGTCTATACAGATCACGTTGTAATTTTTGGAATACAACCCGAGATACATCAAAAGAAGACCCTAACATTTCATTACACATTTGGAACCGCTTTGCAAGAAGAGTGGCCCGGCATGGCCAAGTGGTTAGGGAGCTCGACTCGCAATCTGCGGGTCCTGGGTTCGAATCCCCCTCCCACCAAACATGCTCGCCTTGGGTGCGTTATAATTGTGACGGTCAATCCCACTATTCGTTGGTAAAAGAGTAGCCCAAGAGATGGCAGTGGGTGGTGATGACTAGCTGCCTTCCCTCTAGTCTTACACTGCTAAATTAGGGACAGCTAGTGCAGATAGGCCTTGTGTAGCTTTGGGCGAAATTCAAAAAACAAACAAGCAAGAAGGGCATCAGACTATTCTATTTGATGTGAAAAAATAATGTGTGGCAAGTGTGGGCCTATTCTCTAACTAAAAAACGTTCAAGAAGTGAAACACTCCACCACTTTTTAAGGTGTATTATCAGTTTCTAGCAATAAGATACAACTGTATAAATGTACAGCCAAAAATAATATACTTAGCAAATTTATATTTGTTCCTTTATGTGAATAGTAACTTTAAGTATATCGGAAAGATTTTGGCAAACTATAATAAATACAAAATTATGACTGAACTCACTTAAATAAATAGAGTTTTTAAATACGGAGATTGAGTAGTTTATACTTAAACAATATTGGAGTCTGACCACGTTATTACAAACCATATCACTTTTTCGGCCATTCTCTGCCTGATGACCATGCATCTTCACAATAGGCCTGCATAGTTTCCATTGCAAAAGTCTTATTGCACAGAAATCCAAGGACACTGCATCTGGCAATTTGACCAATATTCTTTATATGGAGTAGTATGAATACCCGTTTTATTTTCCAACTGCTTCACTGTGTACTGTTGCCCGAGGAATATAGACAGCCTTTGCTAGTGATTTTTGTGTTGTTAGACTCTATTATGTTATAAGACGCCGCAACTTGCTTAACACAGTTGGAGTACGACTTGTTACAGGACTATTGTTTTTGAGTCCCCAAGTTAATTCATATTCCTTTGTTTCCCAATGTCATTAAACAAATGGGGTGTCTCCGCCTTGGAAATTATAAATCCCCTATCTGGACATTATATATATATAAGTTATACTATATTGTTTGTTTATCCTTACTTGATAACAGTGTTGGTTATGCCATTTAATAGAACGAATGTTGTTACTTTTATTATTATTATACTTTTTATTGTAAAGATAGTTTTGCATTGTTAGCTTAACATATGTATTTTGGACTAACCTAAATATCCTAAGCTGGCTGAACCTAGTTAGAAATTATTGGGATTACGGCCGAAAATCAGGCCCGTACGCATAATATTTGAAAAGGGAAATCAAAAAGCACACGCCAACAACTATGAGAAGCATAGTCAGCACGCTAATGAAAATGTGTAAAAAAATAGGTGCTACGAGATTAAATCTGGAAGCAATTTTGCATTAACTATAGCTTAAATAATTGCATGACTGTTCACATAAAATTCACAAAAATCCAATGAAGAATAAACAAACATCTATATATACGTTTGACATGTTTTAATATATTATTTAAAACAAGTGGACTGTGTTGCTGTTTTATTATTGTTGAAATCTATCGCCAACAAGTCACAGATACCTACAGTAAAGAATGCTGCCTACAAAACCCGACAGTAGCAAAATGGCTACGAATTTCCAATTACTCTTTTTACCAACGAATAGTGGAATCGACTGTAGCATTATAACGCCTCCACGGCTGAAAGGGCGAGTACGTTCAGTGACGGGATTCAAATTTGCGACCCACAGATTGTGTGGCTAATACTCCAACCACCAGGCCAGCTCGTTCTTCTATGAAGTTAATATATTATGTAAAATGCATTTAATTCATATTGTCAACATCATTGAGTACGGTAATACTTAATGGTAGAGATCGCAATGAAGCAAAAGAGCGGCCATAAAAACCACCGGTTTAAAACCACATTTAAAATGTCTGTTTGTTTGTTTTGAATTTCGCGCAAAGCTACACGAAGGTTATCTGCGCTAGCCGTCCCTAATTTAGCAGTGTAAGAGTAGAGGGAAGGCAGCTAGTCATCACCACCCACTGCCAACTCTTGGGCTACTCTTTTACCAACGAATAGTAGGATTGACCGTCACATTATTACGCCCACACAGCTGAAAGGGCGAGCATGTTTGGTGGGACGGGGATTCGAACTCGCGACCCTCAGATTGCGAGTCGAGCACCCTAACCACCTGGCCGATTTCACAGAATTGGCTGAGCGAAACTAAACCTTATTGTACTTATAAAGCCACCTAAATCGCTATATACATAAGTGACTTTTCCAGACAAGTGTACAGAAAAAATGACGAACCTTATCGTTCTAATTCTTTCACAAAACTCTTCCGTCTAGGGCAATGGGGTAGTGAGGGGAGACATTTGTCTCAAGGCGCCGGGTTCGGGGGCGCCAAATTAACAACCAGTTTACCCAGAATTTAGCTGTTTCCATAAGACTAAGACTCATTGTCTTTCAAAGACCATATAATCATAACAATATGGTGAGATACAGTACCATGGTAGTTAGGGTTGTAATGTAAGGTCAGGAGCTAAAAAGTAAGATTGTAAAAAGCAGGAAGAGTTTGGATTTTTTTATTACAAAAATTAAATAAAAACTATCCCCACTTTGGCTCAAACCAACATAATTACAGGAATTTGCCAAAATAGGGATAACAGGTTTTAAATTTTAAGCAATTCAGTTTTTGTAGTTTTAACTTTCTTGTTTTAACACTTTTTTAGCATTAAAACTTCCTACATTACCTAGTTAGGTTATGTATATATCGATCCCAACTTGCCTTTATAAAGTTTAAATTTTTTATCATACTTGTTATGATTAGTATTTTTCGTCTTCTACTACGTTTGCTTGCGCTGTATGCCATGATGCGTTTCTCTTAAAGCCTTTTAGTAGAGTGTTTTGTTCTTCCAGAACCGGTAGTTTAATTTGAATTTACTTACATTTCAAATTACAGAATATCTTATTCTTTTAGTTTCTTCTTAATTCACTTAAAATTGTTTTTCTATCTGAATACTTTATACATTTAATGTTTTAAACTAGAATAAGTAAATATTATTCTGTCTATCTAGAACAGGGATCACCAAACTACGCCCCGCGGGCCGAATCCGGCCCGCCGCGGCACTGTGTCACAAATGAGCTAAAATATAATTATTTAAATGGAAATATCATAGATTGTAGATAAACTTACTACGTAAAAAAATTAAAGTAAGTGTAAGTAAAAATGTCCAAATTTGTCCAATCTGATTTTTGCATATGACAGTAATATAAGTTTTAGGAAAATCAGTGACATAAAAAATTCGGCAATTTTAAATATCAGAGCGCTTTTTGTGTAAGTACTTGCAATGAGAGTTCATTCCTGCAGTCGCCTCTGATAACTTAACTTCCAAGTATTTTTTCTTAATTTTTTCTCCATCTATTTAGAGATAACTGAACTTCCAAGTATTTTTTCTAATTTCTTCTCTATCTATTTAGCGATAACTGAACTTCCAAGTATTTTTTCCTT